CATGATTTTTAAATTTATCAATATACAAAAGATTTTAAGCACAGAAATCTCTCTCTTCTTTCACATAAGATTTTTTTTTTCTTTACTCACTTGGAGTTTTCAGATTGATTTGATTCTCTAGAGACAAACCCTGAAACCAGTGGCGGCCTAGATGGGAGAGCACCAAAAAGGGATTCTGAAAGGTATCAATAAAAAAAGGCATCAGGGAATTCACTGAGAACAAGCCTCAGAGCCTGGAAGACCTGGGATCAAGTAGAGTTATCCCTTCCATATCGCAGGGGTTAGGGGTACAGCGCCCAATCAGGAAAATCCATGTAAATTTTTTTGGCCCTCCCTTCATATCAGAGAAATCTGATTTTTTATGCGGTGTTTACACTACCTTATTGTAAAATTTAGGTTAAGTATTTGGTTATCTGTGGCTTCTGCAAAACTCCCCAAAATTCCCATTTAATTTCTTACGCTGAGCTGTGATACATTGAAACCGTAATGGGAAAAGTCACAATGTGGAAAGGATAATTGTACCACCTGGTACATACCAGCTCTTTGACCCTGGGAAAGTCTCTTAACCTCCTCTTAGTGCTCTAGGCAACCCTCTGAGAAGACAAATGATAGAGAAGGCATCAAGCTATATTGGTAGAGGGAGGTCCTCATGCAAGAACTCCCTTACCAATGAAATCTCAGGTCTAACCCCTAACCTTCTTAAAGGAATGGTGAGAGAATGTTTGAAAAGGAGGAGAGGAAGAACCAGTTAAGGTTCTATCAAGTCATACCAGACTGACCTCTGTTACATTTTTGAGACAATTACTAGATTGGTAAATCAAGGGAATACTACAGATATGGTGTTTCTTTAGATTGTAGTAAAGCATTTTTCTTATGAAAAAGATAGAAACACAGGCTAGAAATAATATAAGTGGATTTGGAACTAACTGAATGGTCAGACACAAAGAGTAGTTATTTATAGTTTCCTGTCAACTTGAGAAGATGACCTGAGCATTTGGATTTGGACTGGGGCTACTTAACTTTGTATTAATGATATTAGATAATAACAAAGATGGCATGATTATCTAATCTGCCAATGACCCAGAACTGGGAAGGGAGCTAACACAATGGATGACAAAGTAAGGATTCAGAGAGATCTTGACAGACTTAGAACATCAGGTAGGATATAATACGATAGAATTGAATAGTGATAAATGTAAAGTTTCATAGAGTAGCATTGAAAAAAAAACAACTTCATAAGTTTAAAATGTCAGGAGAGGAGGGGAGGTATGGCTAGACAGCAGTTCATCTGAAAAGAATTGGGAAGATTTAGTGGAATACAAGCTCAATATTGGCCCACATTGTGATCTGGTCTCCAATCTTAATTTTCATGAAGAGAGGTGTAATGTTGAGGGTTCTCCTCTGGTCAACACATCGCAGTATTGTGTTCAGTACTGGGTACAACATTTTAGCTGAGACATTGGCAAACTAGAAAATGTGCAGGGGATGGCAAAGAGTATAGTGAAGGGATTCATGTTCATGCTATATGAGGCTCACCTGAAAGAAGTGGGGATGACTAGCCTGAGGAGGGGAGGTTTTTTTTGGGGGGGGGGGGGGAGAGTGGGAGAAGGAGGGACAAGATAGCTGGCTTTAGAGTTTAAGAGCTTTCATATCAAAGAGTGATTAGATCTTTTCAGCTTGATCCCAGAGGACAGAACTAGATGCAATGGGTGGAAGTTGTGTGGGAGTTGAATGAATTCTCACTCCATCTTGTGATGGATTCTCACTCCATCAATTCTGGTACTGGCTCAGTTCCCTTTCTCTCCTTCCTTCCTTCCTTCCTTCCTTCCTTCCTTCCTTCCTTCCTTCCTTCCTTCCTTCCTTCCTTTCTTCCTTCCTGTCTTCCTTCCTTCCTTTCTTCCTTCCTTCCTTCCTTCTTTCCTTCCTTCCTCTTTTATGCAAAGCATTTCCGTCTTAGTCATTTGGTACAAGAAGACTTGAGTAAAAGAAAAACAATGAAAGAGAGAAAGAAAGAAAGTGAAAAATAGCATACTTCAGTCTGTATTCAAACAGTATTAGTTCTTTCTCTGGGGGCAGATAGTATGTTTCATCATTAGTCCTTTGGGATTGTCTTCAGTTGCCTTTCTATTCAATGATGGGTCTAGTCCATTTCTGTCTTGTGAGAAAACTTTATTTAATTATGGAAATTGTGAGACAACTTTATTGCATTGTTTGAATCTAGCCCTGCATGGCTGGGAAGCTGGACCACCTCTACCTGTTGCTCAGAGACCCATAACTAAGGACACAGGTTTTGCTGACCAAAAAACCCAGTCAGATCCAAAGATTGATGCAAGAAGTTTCCTCATAATTATGTATCTCAGGCAATCCATATGTTTTATCTGAAAATTGACTCTGTACTGGTCAATCAATTATTGTTTACATGTTCCTTTGATTGAATACAGACACATGGGGGGAGTGGGACACCTCTTTTTCTGATTTCAAGGAATTGCACCTGTTTGCTTTCCCCCTCCCAACTTGGAAAGTCCCTAATCTTTCCTCCAGTTAGAAATCAGATTACCTGATTTCTTTTTAAGTTAATTATTTTCTTTTAATTAATTGACCTTATTTGATTAATTGTTTTTAGTACATAAAAATATATCTCACTCTATAGTCAGAGTCTTTGGACTGACTGAGGAATCTGTTTACCCATTTATTATGCCTGTGCTAATAAATTGTATAGCTTGGATTGTTTCTTCAGTTATTCAATAACAGTTGTCAGGAAGTCATTTAGATGTTCCATAGTGGATGGGACTGCCTTGGGGAGTCTTGATTCCTGCTCCTGTCCCACTCAAGTTTCCAAACAAAGACCTGTTTGGATTTGATATGTTGTAGAAGGGATTCTTTTTTTTTTCAGATTGAGATTGAAATATATGGTCTTTGAGGTCTCTTCAAATTCTGAAAGTGTGACAATTGAATAGTGTTATACCTCAGTTTCCTCTTTTGCAAAATGTAGACAATAATACTTTCTGTTTTCCTCTCAAGATTGTTGTGAAGGAAACATTTTTCAAAGCATGAAGTGCTACATAAATGTGAGCTGTTATTCAGTTAACTGTGAGGATGCTTGGTGCAGTGTAGATACAGTCTTAGTTGTCAAATTTCCATCTCTAGAAGACTATTCCCATTATTTCTGATCTCTCTCTCTCTCTCTCTCTCTCTCTCTCTCTCTCTCTCCCCTCCCACCTCAACCCTTCCCTATTACTTTTGCATCTGAGCTCTATCTACACAGTGTCAAGATATCTGGATGAAAAGTTAAAAAAAAGTAATTGTGGTATCAGCTAAAATAATTTAGATATTTGCATGCATCTGGGAGATTGAATGAAATTTTTATATTTCATCCAGACATTTGGCATTACATAGAAAAAGACTTCATTTCCACAATCATATTGGAATTATGTATTGGTCTTCCAAGTCACAAAAGGTTTTGTAAGAGTTTTGCCATTTTTGTAGCTGGCTGAGAATATTAACAGGAAAAGTATGTGGGGATTACTGAAGGAAAAACGTGAATGTGTGCTTTCATGCTAACATACGTGTTACATGGGGAATGCTCTTTGATAGCTATGCCTCCTCACTCCCCATTTCTAGTGCCTTCCTGAAAATGATGACACCATAGTAGTGAATGGAATTCAATTTTAAAAAGAGGTTTTGTACATGACATTTACTGGATGTTAATTCCACTTTGCACACAGTAGGTGCTCAATAAATGCTTGTTGGATGAATGAATGCCACTATGCAGTACTGATAGTGTATAAAGTCACAGAAACCTAAATGCAACTATCATTAATATAAGTAGGCTTGAGAAAGGACTTTAAAATATTGCCCAGATTCCTAAAAGTGACTGAATATAGAAGATATCCTAAAAGTCTTGATGCAGTTTTAAGCTTAACTTTAGCAGCTTTGGTAGCTTAAAACTGCACTAAAACATTTGGGACCCCCAGTACATGGGTAATAGGATTACATAGTAAGTATTTTATGAACATATGGCATTCTTTTTTCTTCAGGAGAATAGTTAGCAAGAGAGATAGTTTTCAAATGCACTGGCAGTACTAATATTTCTCATTGTAATTCCTTTCTATTTGTGTTTAAATACATATCTATTTTTTAACCTGAGTTATTTATAAATCTCTTTTCCTTGTAAAGCTTGGCTCTCAGGAAAAATAGTCCTTTTTGGCCTCTGTTTTTGAGTACAATTCCCAGGAATACTAACAATGCCATGGTAGTTGCACCCAGGGTTAATTAAGCAGACTTCTGGACATATTTATAAGTAAAAATTTACTAAAAAATAACTCTAACTATGTGTTTGATGCAATAGATGGCAAGTGTAATTATTAAAATAACTTCTAGTGTGTTCCTATTGTCACCTTTCCATTTTCCAGGAGCTAGTCACCAGTAGAGGCCTTTAATTAAGCACATACTTGTTTCAGATGCAATTCATAGTAACTCAGTTACTGATAAGGCTTTTGTCCTCTCATTTCTTAGGATTATGTCAGTGGTTTATCCAGGTCTCTTATTGCCTCCCTTCCCTTCTGAGGCCCACCTTTGAATTTGTTTCACTACTGGGTGACAGGAGAGGAAAAATGAATGTATTTATAGGGAATGGTGTAAGGCCTGCTCAAGAAGCTCTTGGCCCTTCAGAAAGCCAGGAAAAGAAGATGCTTGCAAGGGTTCATGTTGAGGGTTTTTCTGGGATTTGGAGAGTGAGTCTCTTTGCAATGCTTTGTTTTGGGGCTTAGAATATCAATTTTTGTTGAGTTGTTTTAGTTCTGTCTGTCTCTTTGTGACCTCATTTGGGATTTTCTTGGCAAAGATACTGGAGTGGTTTGCCATTTCCTTCTCCAGTTCATTTTGCAGATGAGGAACTGAGGCAAACAGGGTTACACGACTTGCCCAGGGTCAGACAGCTAGTAAGTGTCCGAGGACAGATGTTAGCTCAGGAAGATGAATCTTCCCAACTTCATGCCCGGCACTCTATCTACTATGCCACCTAGTTGCCTAAAAAGCCTAAAGCTATTGAGTAAAATGACAGTTAAGGAATAGATTCAGATTTTAATGATTGCTATTTTCCTTACCCATTGTAGATAAGCAGGATTTGGCTTTATTGGGATAATCTGTTGAGCTATACTTTTACAATCCTATAGTTTTCTAGATTTTTTTTCCCATCAAAATTTTCTGCAATAGAAATAGTATCACTGAAATATATAAAAATATATTCATTGAGATCCTATGCACATTAGTCAATGCCAAAAAATGCTGTTGTTACTGTTTAACTCTTAGGTCTTCAATTTGCCCAGAATTTTGGTAAATTATTGTTTCTTCCCCGCATCTTTAATGAAAAAAATTAGACTTTCTGCTGTTGGCCTTCAGAGGTAGTTAGGGAGCACAACCGGGCACCCACATAAAAGACTTGGTATCTATGTTTCCACATCATGAAACATGCCAGCAAGCACACCAAGGCACAGAGCAAGTTGAGAACCATCTGGATGAGTAGGAAGAGTTTGAAAGTGCTGGTGATGCTGGTACAGTCACTGACATCCTGGTAAACAAAGGCCCTGCTGAGTGGATCTGATGTGGGCATTTTGCACTGGCAGGAATCGAGAGTGTTTTTGCAGATCAGTTGTGTGAGCTGGGAGTAGTGATGGGCAGCGAAGGCCACTGCCAGCACACAGACAATCAGGCTTAGAGCACTCATCAGAAAGTAGAACAGCTGTAAGAGAGAAAGTGGGAAAGATTTCCAGTTAGAGAAGACAATTCATCCTATAGACAAAGCATGAAGCTCATTCCCTCCTCCCAGAAGTTCTTGGAGAGTAGGAACTCAGTTTCCTCATCTGTAAAATGAAAGGGGTGAACTCGTTGGCTATTCTGTAGGTCGCTCAGTCTTTTTCATTCATATCCAACTCTTTATGACCCCCATTTCTGGGAATTTTCTTGGCAAAGATATTGGAGTGGTTTGCCATTTCCTTCTCCACCTCATTTTACAGATGAGAAAACTGAGGCAAACAGGGTTGAGTGACTTGCCCAAGGTCGCATAGCTAGTAGGTAAGTGTCTAATGCTGGATTTGAACTCACTAAGAGGAGTGTTCCTGACTCCATATCGCTGTCTACTGTGCCACCTAGCTGTCTGGCTATTCTACAGCCCTAGTGTAACTCTAAATCTGTAATCCTATAGCGCCCTGGTGTCTCTGAAGTCATGGTCTTCAGTACATAACAATGCTTCAGAAAAAGCTAAGTGTAGAGCTCATAGGATGATATAGGCACAGTCCTTTGCAAACCTTCAAGTGCTATGTAAATGTTAGCTACTATTGTCTGTGACCTGAAGCACATCTGTATTTGCTTGACAGAGGCTGGAGTGTTTCATGAATAGTGTTCATCTATGACAGGGCTGTTCACGTATGAATGCTGCAGTTGTGATGGGCCAACATGAAACAAGCTGGCTACCCTGAAAGACAGAGATTGTCTCTTTCAGGGGTAAAAACGTCCTTCCAACCTCAAGAACCCCAGATATTAAGGCTGAAACAAGAGTAGGAAATACAGTAGTGGTTTCTGCAGGTCTCATAGAGCTTCAGTCAAAAGAAATAGTACTGAGGCCACTAGCTCCACATCAGTGAAACTAGACTTGGTTGAGTACATGATTCTAGCAGACGCACTTAATTTATGTCTGCCCCAGCACCTCTGGGGCTTCATTTCAATAGAGTTCCCAATTCTGAGTACAAAAGATTAATGAGCAAACATTCTACAGCCACTAAAAAGCTGAAAACCATGAACCTAGAGAGAAGAATGCTGGCCCTGGAATTGGAAAAACACAAAACAAAACAAAACCAACAATTTGACCCGACTCCTAGCTTTGGCACTGAAGCATTATGGAAATTTAAGGGGAAGCAGCAGCGATGGTGAGGCATAAGGAAATCCCATTCCTGAGAATTAGACAAACTATGTCAGGAGCGGACAATCTGTGGCCTCAAGGCCGCATGTGGCCCTCCAGGTCCTCAAGTTCAGCCCTTTGACTGAATCCAAACTCGGGTAGAGTCCGACTCGAACCCTAAACCTAACCCTCTGATTCTAACCCAAACTTGAATTCAGTCAAAGGGCCTCACTTGAGGACCTAGAGGGCCACACGCGGCCTCGAGGCTGCAGGTTCCTCACCCCTGAAGTCTGTGATCTTGGGCAAATCGCATAAACCTTTGTAGCCTTATTTTCTTCTTCTGTGAAAGAGCTGGGGGGTTTGAACCATTTGATGAATGGTGTCTGGTTCACTTTTAGACTCTCTTATCTAAATCCATTCATTCACTTAGCCTAGGCCTAGCCTGGGGAGCTCTATCTCATATCAAAAATTTTGATCAAAACTTTGACCAACTAGGTGGCAACAACAATAAACAACAATTTTTTGTTGTTTTGGGGGTCTAGACTCATCTACTGTAACACTTTATTCACTTCTCCCACTTCCCTAATAATAAATGATGCCTTCTGGGACAGCATCTAGGAAAACTGAAACTGAAGTACAAGTGCAGCTGGGATGGGGCATAATAACCCCCAGTTCCTGCTCAATTTGCCCTGGTGGGTTTGTATTCGTATCTGTACTACCTCCTCTACTGGTTAGTACCATCCATTAGCTAATCAAGTTACAGACCTGAGTGTGTGGGTTTTTGGGAATAGAAGGGTAGGGATACAGGAGGGACTGATATTTTCAGATTCCAGTTTGGTGGTCTTAGTGGGGCTGAAAAACACAGGAGTTGGTATATTCATCTGAGGCCAAAACTGAATATTTGAGGGCATCTTAATGACCACAGAATCACCATCTCTATCATTTTTAACGTTCAAAACATTTTGAGGTTGTCATCTGCCCAAGTTACCTCTTCTATAAAATAGCCTGCTAAACATTCTTTTTGTTTCTTCAAGATGAAACGAAGACTATTTACTCTATGGAGTCCTTAGAGATAAATATTAGAGAAATACAAAGTGGTTGATGCTAAGGTGCTAGAAGGCAAAATATTACTTTTATGATATCAGTCTGGAAACATCAGGTTGCTCCAGCCCTATGAATTCTTGACATTAAGCATACAAATAATTATGCTGTCTACATGTGGGTGTGAATGTTGTCCATATGTTTCTCTGTAAAGCTAAGAGTGCTGATGGAAGTAGTAGCAATTAAGATTCAGATCAGATAACTAACTTCTCATCTTGTCCTATGCTTCCTGGCCGGGTGAAAGGAATCATAGAACTGGAGCTATCACGGGGAGACTGACCACCTTGGGCAGCCGCCCCCACAGTGATCTACAGCCACTTCCCAGTAGAGTTAGATAGAAGGTGCCCCTGACCTGGCCTGGGGACCCTTTACCATCCATGATTGCTTGAATCAAGGGAGTGAGATCAACAAGAAGATATTTAACTAGTGGCCCTTTAGCTTCTAACCACTCCACAACAGTGGATATAGCTTTAGTCTTTTTCCCAGTCACCATCCTTCTCAGCCCCGCCCTCTCAGAAATTTACACTCTTTTTTTTTTTTTTGGTTTGGTGAGGCAATCGGGGTTAAGTGACTTGCCCAAGGTCACACAGCTAGTATGTGTCAAGTGCTTGGTCTGAGGCCAGATTTGAACTCAGTTCCTCCCGACTTCAGGGCCGGTGCTCTATCCACTGCGCCACCAAGCTACCCCAAGAAATTTACACTCTTGTAATGCAGTGGAAATGTCTCTAGATTTAGATTAAGAGGTTCAAATGTCACACACTGTTACTGTGCTTGTGACCTTGAGCAAGTTACTGTAATTTTTAGGCCTCAGTTTCCTCATCCGTAAAGTGGAAGGGTTGTAAAAGATAACCTCTAAGTCTTTTTCAAGTCTAAATCCGTGATCCTTGGTATGTGGTCCTTCTAGATTCTTTCTGTCTTCTTATGCTCCCCGAAGCCTACATTTTTCCTGAAGATAATATGCCTCTTTGAGTCTTTTCCAAGTCCAGCTGTTTCTTCTTTTGCATTTGTTCACATGAAAGGTTGGGAAGAGGAGCTTTCATGCTCCTTGTTCCCCTTTTCACTTTCAGACCCTCCCTCATCCATTAGCATTCAGCAACTACTTCTCTTCCTTTAAAGGTCATTCCACAATCCAACATGTCCTTGTTGTCTGGATCACTCTTCTGACTCCCAGTAAGTTCTGTAACTGGCTCTTAGTCTTCTTCTGACTCCAACTACCACTGCCTTCAAATACTCTGGACTTTCAGTTCTTTGGCCTTCTCAGTACCCTCAATCTCTATTTCTAATCTACCTCAATCACATGCACAAGAGTAGCATCTTAGACTGCAACCAAAAAAACCCCCCAAAACCAAAACAAAACAAAAACCAAAACCCTGAATTTGCCCTAGGTGCCAGAATTCCTAAGTATGTCTCTGGACGACTTCTTCCCAACCATTTTCATTTTCAACACTTGGTTGTAGCTTAAATAGCAAAAATTATGCTTTCCCCTCCCCAACTCCCCTGCCTTAGGCATAAGACCTCTTAAAATGTACATCTGGACCATACCCTGCAGCAATTTATAATGATAATTATCCCTAGTGCCCAATCTGCAAGTAATTCAGGGTTTTTACACACATTATTTTCTTATAATCATCCCAATATACATCTGTGGTAAGAAGGAAACAGGCATGGTCTCCTTTTTTTTTAATGAAGACATTTTAACTCAGAGAGGTTAAGATTAAGTTCACACGGTGTGCAGAAATAGCATCTGGTTCTCAATATCATTGCTCTGCCCTATGACCCACATTGTCTTTGTTTTGTTCAAATGTTTATGATATGTGAAGTAACCATACATATTTCATTTACTGAAGTGATGTGAAATAATGTGATTACATAAAATCACTGATTACTTAATTTGGAGTAAACTTCCTCAATCTGCCATGTGCTATAAAACCCTTAAAAACTAATTAATTTATGTCCATGCATGTCGCATATATTGAATCTGATTCTTATACATCAAAATTTGCATTCATGTAGGAGTCACAGAATAAAGTTTTGAAAATAAAAAATATTTAGTTGATCAAAATAAGCCTGTGGCCTGTATTCCTTAATGTTACAACATTTATCTTAGGCTCAACAGCAACAAGCTTCTGGGTTAAAATCTACAATTTTAAACCAAGCCTCTTGTTTTACCTATGCAACATGAGCAAACTATCAATAAAAGTGTTTTCGATGACCTTGGAAAGCCAGGAAAATATATCTTGATAAAATCCAAACTCAGGACATATTTGTCTTGCAACTGTTAAGAAACATCAATCTTTCAATTCACATGTCAGTTTGGGTGGGGGTGGGGGAGGGGATGTGGAGGGAGGAAGAGCAAGGCCTATTGGAGAATTGGAGAATTGTGTCCTCTCCCTCCCTTCCTGCTGCTATAAAGGAATTTTAGAATGTACATCTCTGTTTAGAAGCCACAGCTCCTCCTGAATTTAATTAGACCCTGACTGCAGCTTTACAATGAGGGTGACTTCAGGACAAGGGTGGTACTATTTAAATTTAATTACCTCCCCCTCTGGCTGGGATAGTAAAGGGACTTCCTTTAAACCATAACTGAAGATTCAGCCTCAGCCAGTGCAGGGCTACCAAAATATCTCCCAAATGTGTGCACAAGGTAATTTGCTCATAAATACCCTCCTGAGGAATTTGCAGGGAATGTGTTTGCAAGCCACATGAAAATGGATGCATTTCTTAAAACCAAGGGAGGAGTCCAGAGAGAATAATGCCTGGGAGCTCTAGGCAGCCCTGACATCAGCAGACAAATCCCATGACAGCCCCAGAGGCAGCTTGGCAAAGGGCAAACCTGGTGGTGGTGTGGAAAGGCTGTCAAGGAGCCAAAATGTACTTACTAGAAAAGACTTTTTTCCCCAAAATTTGAGAGAAAGAGGGAGCCCAAAGATTATCACAAAAAAAAAAAAATGAAGAGAGTCGAGTGGGGAGAGGAAAATGATAAATTCCAATTGAGTGCCACCAGCAGTCCCCAACCCCAAAGGATGACTATTTGGAATAGAAGGGAAGAAAAATATTCAAACTGTTCAAGACCAGTCTGCTCTGCTTGTGACACTGCAGATATCAGATGCCTTGGGAAGAAAGATGCCCTTTGTTACCTACAGCCTCTAAACCACAGAAGTGCAGGCACAAAAGAAGCCATCTGGGATTTGCTGGACTTCTTCAAACTTGGGGGTTTCCTCTATTTTATTTTAAACCTAAAGCTAATACAGTGTGCATTTTAGACAACTGGCAAGGAGTGTCATGGAAAGTCACATTGAGGAGTGGAGAAATGCAGCCTCGGTATTTGTCGATGCCTGTCGCAAGTGAAAAATGTGAGCTAATGAGCTCTTCCTAGTGTGGAATTCTCCACCTGGCTGACACTGGAAGACATGCCCTGCCCCACCCCCCTCACTTTTTACTTTCAAATACTGCACAAATGTCAGGACGGTTTTTGTAGGCTCTGTTAGTATTTCTGCCCTCTCCTGGGGTCATGGTGAGAACATTTAAAGTCCATTGTGATGCTAGCCTGTCATGTATGCTTTGGTGAAGTGGGCACCTGTAAATTGACAGGTTCATCTATTGAGTTGGCCTACTGGACCCTGCACAAGGCCTTTGTTGAAACTGATTTCAGCCCATTTCAATAAGCTACTCTGGGGTGGTGGTTCTCAAACTTTTCCATAGAAAAAAGACCAAGGTCACCCACTGCATCTGGGGTCATCTGCAGTTGTCCTGATTTATATCTTGACGTTGGACCCAAATGGCTCCAGAGGAGAAAGTGAAGCTGGTGACTTTTCACAGCCCTTCCTCAATTAATTCATTTGCATGTCATGGCATCACCTCCCTTATGTCAAGATCCTCTTCCAGAAAAAGACAAACAACAACAACAACATAGATAGATTGCAAGGGATCTCTGAACTTGGATGGAAAAAAAATCACGTTTTCATTTTCACTTACCTCTATCTTAAATTTAAAGTAAATCCTCAAATGTCAAACCATGGAGACTAGGGGTGAGGAACCTGTGGCCTCCAGGCCACACGTGGCCTTCTAGGTCCTTAAGTACCACCCTTTGACTGAATCCAAACTTCACAGAACAAACCCCTTTAGTAAAGGGATTCTGTAAAACACAGTGCCTGATAAATCCTTTTAGTAAAAGGATTTGTTCTGTAAAACTTGGACTTAATCAAAAGGCCGAACCTAAGGACCTAGAAGGCCACAGATTCCCCACCCCTGAAAATTACAGATTCTTAACGTTTTTAGTGTCATAGACTTCTCTGGCTATCTGGTGAAGCCTATGGACCCCTTCTTAGTGTAACATTTTTGAATAGTTGAGGAAATGCTAAATTTAAGTTAGAGGTTAGTGAAAATAAAGATGTGATTTTTGTTTTCCATCCAAATGTTTTTTCCATCCATAGATCCCTTGCAATCTATCTATACCCTAAGTTAAAGACTCCTAGTATAGAGAGAAAGTAAACTTTAAAAATCTAGGCATGGCAGTTTATTGTCTTTCATTTTCCATGATCAATTGTAATCTGTTTAAATATATATTAGTACATTTGTTTTCTCAAATTCTGACATTTTCAAATTAGGTATTTATGATGTTTTCTTGACTTAAAAAATACATAGCATATTTATATGTTTTTCTTAGAGCAGAAGAATGAACAGTATGAGAGGAGAAAAAACAACAGTACAAGAAACCTTTTTGTTCTCTGCTGCTAAAGGAGTGGAGGAAATGTAGGAATTTGATTTTCCTTTCTTTGAATGCTAGGTATCTGTCCCCTTAAGCCCTTTAAAAGGGTGTGTCTACATCACACTTTGGAGCAGATTCTACTATGCAATGGAAATGCCAAGGACTTGATTCTGCTCCAATCAAATACACTGTCCACAGCAGAGGAAAAGTATACTCAGCTGACGAAAACACACCTGGCTGCCAAATCTTGCATGTTCCTCTCCTCATCCCCTTTTGGGATAAGCTACTGTAGATGTACCTGATGTGTTTTTTTTTTTTTAATTTCTATGAGCCCTCTCATAAGAGGAGATTTGTGTAATTCTTCCTTTTAACAAATATATATGGAAAGATATATAATATATATTTGTGTGTATATATGTACATATGTGTGTATATATATATACACATATATGGAAATAAGAAACTCAGCAAAGGTTTTTGATCAGCCCAGTGTTGTTGGATCAATGTTATAAAACCTGTGAATTTCTAGGGTCCTCTCTTTTCTTATTGATATCTTTTGTTTTAATATGCATCCCCTTCACTTCTGAATATATCTTTCCTCATATCCAGTGAGCTATTCCTTGTCACAAAGCACTTAAGAAAAGCAGTTCCACAAAGTTAGACAACAACATTAACCATTTCTGACAATGTGTGCAATATTCCACACCCATAGTCCACTGGTGGTAAGAAAAAAGGAAGGCACATCAGCAGTTCTCTTAGTGAGACTCATTGCTTCATGTCATCCTAATTGCTGGAAATTATTAATAACTTTTTAATCCAGCCTGAGATTTGGAGGGGGGTGAGTTGTTGTTGTTGTTGTTGTTGTTGTTGTTTTTTACAGTTTTTGTTGTGGGTGTGTTGATTGATTGATTGATTGGGTAGCCAGCCTTAACCTGTTGGAGACTTGATCTACATGTAACTGTCTCCCAAAGCATTTCTTTAGCTGGCTGGCTGCTGGAAAATGCAATTTGTGGCCAGTCTTTTGTTGTATAGGAAGCCACTCATGCGCTTCCTTCTGAGCAGTGTTGTGAGAGGAAAAAATAACCATGACTTACTTTCATAGCAAACTGGATGCATGTCCGTTCATCAACTTGATATGAGACACAGAGCATAAACAAACCAAGATAGGACACCAAGCAAACCTGCAATGAAGTACATAGAAAAGGAACACTGTCAATAGAAGTCATGTATCCTAGTGACATATGTCCAGATGTTTTTCACTAGCAACATCTTTATAATGGAACTATTTGCTTCATTTAATGATCTATACTTCTGCTTTTTCCTTCAGCTTGACTTGGGAAAACTTGTTTAGAAACAAAGTAAAATCGACCTCAAAGGGGGATGAGGTTGTACTGGAGTTGGAGTCAGTAACCTCTGGGTTCAAATCCTGCTTCAGACATTAATTAGCTGTATGACCCTGGGAAAATGCCTTAACCTTTCTATGCCTCAGTTTCCTCATTTATAAAATGAGGGAGTTGGCCACAATGATCTCTGAGGTCCCTTTCAGCTCTGAATCCACGATCCTGTCATATATAAACATTTAGCAATTCTTTCCAGTGCACTTTGCAGACCTTTAAATTTACAAAGAAAATATATCTATCCATGTGAGATTTTGGAAAGCTTAAGAATCATAGCTGTCTTAATGATTGAATCCAGGACTTGAACCCAGGAATTCTTGGCTCTAAGACTAACTCTCTGTCTTCAATACCACACTTCACTTCTCTCTACCCTGCCAAAAAGCATTTATGAAAGCTAGTTTTATAACAGAAAAAATAAACAATAGAACTGCCTTCTGTGACAAGTGTGCTACTAGAAGAAAGATTTTGGATAAGTCGTCTATAGTTATCTAGCAAGTCATTCAGCATCTCAGTTAATAATACTCAGAATTCCTCATGCCTGGGGTTATTTTCAAACCTAAATCATAATTCCTATTAGGTTAACAGGTCTGTTAAAAAGCTTCCCAAAGTACAAACAAATGTGACATTTTTAAGGGAATGCAAATTTCCTTCTTTCTCTTCATTACATTTTTGGTAGGTGCTCTAATCTTTCAAATTAATGCATATGATCACCTTGAAAAAAAAATGTCAGTTGAGCTTTCTACTAGCTCACGAATCCAAATGCCAAATGTTCTCTGTATCCCAAGATCTTTCCAGAGTTTTTGCATCATTAGTATTGGTTGCATGATTTAATAGTAATTATTTAGTAAATAGGAAATAGTATTTATTTAGTAAGTTGTAAAAGTTAATAGTAATTGCAAAGTGGAATGGACCAGAAAGCTCTGTACAGGAAACAAAGTGGTAAGATCTTGGACAGACAGCCGTCCTCTAGCTGACTGAAAGCTTTGCAAGGTAATGATACCTAAGTTATTTATGTTGATGATGAACTGAGGTACGGCTGCCATTTACAAGTCAGTCATGGATTTCTTCAGTGAATATTTTAGGGCTAAATCTGATGAGGTCTAAGGATTTACAGACACCATAACACTGGACAATAAGTACCTATTTGAGTTTGTTTCAGTGCTACCTAAGAAAGCAATAAAAGATGATGAAAGACCCCTCAATCATGTCACATAAGGGTTGACTGAAAGAACTGGGGATCCTTATATTGGATGAGAGAAGCTTTGAGGGGGTAAGATAGCCATCTTCAAATAATTGAAGGGTTGTTATGTACAAGAACTATTTGACCTCTTCTCCTTGGCCCTGTAGGACATAACTAGGAATAGTGAATGGACATTGGAAAGAGGAAAATTTTAGCCTGGTAGAGGAAAAAACTTATGAATTGTTAGAGCTATACTGAAGTGAAATGGCCCGCTATTTCTATGAAATAATAGGATCCCCTTTACTAAAAGTCTTCAAGCAAAACTTGGTTTGATCACTTTTAACCTTCAGTATGTTGTAGGTGGTCTTCTTCAGGAATGGGTAAACTCAATGACTTCTGAGGCCCCCTTCTAATTGGAACATTTGATAATTATGTGGCATCAGGCTCTTCTGCTTTTTTTTTTCTTTTTTTTGCTAGGCAATGGGGTTAAGTGACTTGCCCAGGGTCACACAGCTAGTAAGTGTTATGTGTCTGAGGCCGGATTTGAACTCAGGTCCTCCTGACTTCAGGGCCAGTGCTCTATCCACTGCACTGCCTAGCTGCCCCTCCTCAGGCCCTTTTAAGGAATTTATTAGGAATGGCTCTGTTCCTAATGAAAATTTAGGTGATCGTATCTTAGTCATACAATAGCATTCTCTCCCATAAAATAAATTTCTGCAGCCCAGAATTTTCAATGCTGACCCTAGTTCACATTTTAGTAATCAGTGTAATTGGCAACACCTTATAAATCTGATTTTTTTTTTGTATCTCCACCTGAACAAATCTTTCTATTACATAATCCTCTGTAGCTTTGTTTATAACTGATTTTCTTATCACTTAAAAGAAACTTTATGTGAACATGTCTCTGCCTTCTACAGTATTCCAAAAAAACTTCATTTGAAACTTCCATAGCAGGTCAAATTTTATTCCAGAAATGATGGTTATATGATGCATCTTACACTGATTACCTTCTAAACTCAGTGTTTAACTCAGAAATCACAGAGTGGAAATTACCCCTGAAAAATCTCTTAAATCATTCATGAAGTATCTTTAAACTGTTGTTGTTGCAAAGGGACTAGGGACTCCTTAAAAAAATAAGTCTGGGGGCAGCTAAGTGGTGCAGTGGATAGAGCACTAGCCCTGAAGTCAGGAGGACCAGAGTTCAAATCTGGCTTGAGATCAAACACTTGACACGAGCTGTGTGACTCTGGGCAAGTCACTTAACCCCAATTACCTAAAAAATAATAATAATGATAATGTCTGTATTAGAGAGCAGACAGATCTGTAAACAATTGAATGTAAATTTTATTTTCACATTTCATGTAAGCTATTGATCAATAGAGAAGAAACTAGGATTTCTTTTAAAGAAAAAAAAGAAAACAAAAATAGGTAGAGATTAGGTAGCAGGAAAACTGATGATGAGACAGAAAATATACTTGAAAGGACTTCGCACCTAATTGTAATGATATTAGGGAGTGATCACAGCCCCTCATAACCTATGCTTCACCTGCTTTCCTGATTCACCATGAGTCAAGAGAAGAGACAAGGAAGTCAAAGAGAACTCATCAGAGGCCAACTAGCTAACCAACAGTGCTAGAAAGGCCAAGTTAGACCAATCAATAGAGCCACTACTTAAGGGCAATCAGTAGCTCTAAAAAGAATGAACGCATTGTAGATGTGTTGAAGAGGAGATTCTAGAGTCATACTAGGTGTAGGGAGGTGTTTTAACTCTGTAACTGAAGGAATAATAAACTTGCCTCTCCCATCTTACACTCATTGTGTAGCATATGCATTTGAGTGGAAAGGCAGACAGTTTCTCTCTCTCTCTCTCTCTCTCTCTCTCACTCACTCACTCACACACACACACACTGTCTTTCCTGCTCTCTCATAATTAAATTCACAGAAATCAAACATATACAAATACAATGCCATCATATTACACATGTTGACTAACACAAAAATTATGAAATTTAGTCTTTTTCTGACGCTTCAGATTCATTCTAGAATGAAGATAGTTTATCACCAGATAAACTCATTACCAAGAAACTTATCATCATGGACTCCGCTTCAGCTTTGCTACTCACACTTCATCAATATCCTCAGTTGTTTCTGCCTCTCTGATTAGAGGACCAAAAGTAGTGCAAAAAAAATTCTCCCATAATATCCCTTTAAAGGGGGCTCAAAAGTCCAAGCAACTCTTCATTTGCTGCCTGATATTCTACTTGGCTTCAACTCCATCATCATCTTCATTTTGCCCCATATACTAGGTACCCTCTGGCACTCCCCACATACCTTTTGAACTTCTTTTTGAGTCTTCTTCCATTAAATTGTAAGCTCCTTGAGAACAGGGGCTGTCTTTATTTTTCTTATTTGTATACCCGGCACTTAACACAGTGCCTGATACATAGTAGGTACTTAATCAATATTTATTGTATGGTATTATTTGTTTATTCAACCTTTATTATATTTCTACTATGCTTCTATGAAGCACTGTACTAGGAACTCAGTGAGATCAAATTATATTTAAGACTTGATTCTGCCTTCTTGGAGTTCACAGTCTAGTGGAAATAAACACAAATTAATATACAAGGTGGTGTGGAGTATGATAAGAGAGTAACAGAGGTGGCTGGAAGTGACATGGAGGAGGCATTTCATGAATGAGATTTTATTATTATTATTCATTTCAATATTGAATGAATATCATTCATTTTGATATATTATTATTATTCATTTCATGAATAAGATTTTAAGAAAACAGGTCAGGCAGGGGGAATAGAATTCTAGGTATCAGGATATCCAAAGCGAATGTTTGGAGGTAGGGGAGAACAGGGCAATCTTGTGGAGTGGTGAATTTGGCAGAATCCTAGGTGAAAAGGTATGATATGAGAGATGTCTGGAAAGATAAATTGGAGTCAGACCAAAGAGAGTTGTGAAAATAATCTAAGGAGTTTTGCCTTTATTTGGTTTACAGTTGAGAGCAATTCAAGTTTTTTTGAGCAGAAGAGTAGCATAATTGAAGTCACGAATAAAGATTACAATGGTAGATTGGAGGGGAAAATGGAGAAAGGGAGACTACGACAGTACAAGTGAGAGGTAATTAGTGACTAAGATGTATATGGAGATAATGGAAATTAGGGAAGTACTTCCAGAGATAGTGAGGAGATAGGCTATGAATTAAATCGAGGAGCAATGACAAAAGAGGAATCAAAGATGTCTATGAGATGTCTAGCATGAGTGACTAAGAGAATGGTGGTGCCAATGATAAAAATAGGAAAGTCAGCAATAGCAGAAGGTTTTGGGGAGAAGATGATGAGTTCAGTTTGGTCTATTTTGAACTACAACTCCTAGAAGAACATTTAGGTGAAACTGTTCAGCACGTAGAAGAAAGTGCTGGCCTAGAATTCAGGTGAGAAATGTGGGTTAGTGTGACATTTAAAAAGTTCAAGAGATGTAGTTTCTGGGTAATTGGTCATTTTATTAATAAAAGGGTCAGTGATGCTCTCAAATGCCCAAGACCCTTCATTGAACCCACTCAATGCTTATATGCCCTTAGAAGGATGGGTGT